TGGACTTTGCGCGCACTTTCGGGCGTTCTAAAATGCAGCCCTGGGCCTCCTAGGCCACGTTTCGGAGCGAGTTCCGGCCGGAGTCGGGAAGAAGGACTTACCCTATGAACGAAACAGCCAGAGACTACACCGTAACACAGCGCAGTTTTGAAACATGGATATAAGAGAGAGCTGCGATCTTGCCTGCAGAACACTCCGGAAACCCATTTGTAATCTTTCCGTGGTGGACGATAGCAAACATCCAAAAGGATTTGTGATCTTACCGGAAAAACGATGCGCACTGTTTGCGTCGAACTGGCAATGTTGTGCGCCATGGCTATGCTAGGAAGCGAGAATTAAAGTTGCCAAAATTGAACTTGCCAGCAACTTCAATGACAGACATGGCTGGATTTTTAGGCAGCATGGCAAGACTGTCAAAACGAAGGCGACTTAAGACAGGAAGACCGACCCTGTGTGGTTAAAGAAAAGCCATAAAGGCCATGAAGGCAGAGACGCACGGTAAAAAGAGAATGTAGAACAAGTTTAATTTTGTAATGGGGAGGGTTTGACGGAGTCGAGCTGCGGAAAAGAACATCTTGGAAGGACTGGTCCGAGGCACTTGCGTAATTTTCTTGGCGAAGTTGCCTTGGCCTGTCTTTTCGCAGATGTGGCTGAATGTAAAAGAACATTGCCAAGAGTGTCAACATGGGGTTGAGAGTGGAACAACATGACCAAAGAAGACAAGAGAAAATATGAATCCCAGTCTGAGAAAGAAAAGAACGCCGGAATGAGGCTCTGGAAGAAGTAGCCTTTGAGAAGAAATGGAAAAAAAGCCGCAGAAGTCGAAGAGCCAGAGCTCAGCTTAACGGAAACAGCTGTGCCAGTCAAAATGGAGACGGGTTGTTGCAGAAAAGGCTTGGTCAAGGCACGTATGGAGACATTTGTGCCGTCAACACCAAACTTGGACTTAAAGGTGCCTCGAAGATGTTTACAGGTTACAACGAAAGCAAAAACGAGGAATTTGAGGTCTACCAATGCCTTCAAGCGGCTACTAAGCCGGTTCAGGCGTCATGCTCCCTATTCTTGATTTCTCCCAGGCTGCCACCTGCAACTGGATGGCGGTGCTGTGGATTCCTTCTGGATGCCTAAGCAAGAATGGTCCGCTGAAATCTGCTGCGTTGCGGGCCATGCTGCTTCAGGGGGCCAGTGCACTCAATTACTTGCACAGTCTGAATTGGCTGCACTTGGATGTGAAGCCGGCCAACATGCTATGGGATCCGCTCGCCTATTCGGCAATAATGTTTGTACGCAGCCATACAGGCCACCGGAGGCATGAAAGCTCCCGTGCAACGTGAGCAAATTTACAGATGCATGCTTCTTGGATGTTTCCGGCTTTGAAGCAGCCACGGCCCGACTGCTGTTCCCGGACCCGAACAAGATCGCCAGATGGAAGCTTGACCGGCAAAACGCTGCCGGCACTTTGCTTTGGAGCGGCATGCCCTCCGATGTGCGCCTCGTTCTTTGGCATCTGACGGATGCCGATTGCCAGCGTCGCATGGCTTTGGGGCGTGTTGCTGAGCGGCTGAAACAGCCAGCAGGAGTAGATGATTGACGTCTCACCTGACTCCATTTGCCAGTGAATATATAGGCACTATGTGGGGTGGATTAAATCCATAAATATTTTTCGGCTGGGCGGCAATTTAACCCAGTATTGGGCAACTAGTTGTATTATATTGGGCTATGTGGGGGTAGTTCCATGCAGTACACTGTTTGGGGAGAAATTGAAATTGGACTAGAGTTGGGTGGCAGTGGTAAGTTCCCAAAACGGACATGCCCTATAGTAACTGGTTTTGCTTGTGGGGTTCAAGGATTTCGGGTCAGCTTGTCGGGCTTTTTTCGCAAGCCCCAGGCTTTAGTTTCGTTGCCCATATGAGTTCTATTACGAGTCTTGCAGTGTATTTGTCGACGGGCAAACCGACCAGAGCAGTTCAGCTGTGCTTTTCCAAACACGAGCATGAACAACAGCTTTTGCGATTGCTGGAGATTTTTCAGGCTGAGAAATGAAAATACGAGTTTGTTTGCTTGATCGTGTTGCTATCTTCCTCGACCCGCTGCAGCCGCGTCGGCCAGACATATCGTGTTTGTGCAATACTTGCTTGGCAGACCAGTTCCTCGCGATGCGCTTTTGGCTGTCCATACTTCAGTGGCAACTTGCTGCGGCGGCAAGGAGACCCGTGGATTGAGACACGGACTATGTTAGACAGAGCAACGATTCACGATTTATTCTGCGAATCTTGCCGGTCAGTTTCTGAGGGACAAAAGGGCCAAACCAAAGCTTGTGCGAAGCCCAATTCCCCGCAGGAGACACAACTCCGTGACTGAGTTGGAGATCAGGGCTTTTACCGAAGGTCTTTCAAACGAGATCATTGATGGCATCTTGTCACGAGCATACATAGCCGTTTTGCAGGTTGCAAGCGCATACTGCAGCACCTTTGCGAAATTTCCAGGAAAGTCTGTATGCCCATGTTGTTTGCTTGCAGCATAGTACCGAGGTGAGTATGGCCACTACCAGCTTGGCGAGAAAATGGGTAACGGAGCTTACGGGACGGTTTACTTGGCCACAGAGCAGCAGACCGGAAGGCTAGTCCAGCACGTGGTGTTGATGCATTCATCGAGTTGCGGCATCAGCGTGCTGCAACAATGTTGAAGCATTGCAAGCCTCTTCGGTCATGACGATTGCTACAAATACTACTGTTTAACAATACATATTCGTTTTACGTACAGTTACTACTACAACTACGCGCATAGTGCGGGGTTTGCCCCCCGACACTTGTCCACACTTGTCCTGAAGTGTCACCACCGAAGCCACTATCATTTCCGTTTTAGGGTTTAGTGTTTGGCTACCAACATCTCCTTTTAGGGTTTAGGGGTTGGCTGGCAACATCTCCTTTTAGGGTTTAGGGTTTCGCTACCAACATCTCTTTTTGGGGTTTAGGGCTTGGCTGCCGACATCTCCTTTTGGGGCTTAGGGTTTGGCTCCCAGGATTTATTTTTAGGGTTTAGGGTTTGGTTCCCGACATTTCCTTTTGGGGTTTAGGGTTTGGATCAACATCGTCTTGTAGGGTTCAGGCTTCCTTACCAACATCTCCTTTTATGGTTTAGGGTTTGCTTACCGACATCTCCTTTTGGGTTTAGGGTCTGGCTACCACGATTTCTTTTTAAGTTTAGGGTTTGTTTACCAACATCTCCTTTTAGGGTTTAGGGTTTGGTTATCAACATCCCCTTGTAAGGTTCGGGGTTTGCTTACCAACATCTCTTGTAGGGTCTAGGGCTTGGCTATCAACATCTCCTCGTAAGGTGTAGCGTTTGCTTACCAACATCTCCGTGTAAGGTTCTGGGTTTGGCTACCAACATCTCCTTTTAGGGCTTAGGGTTTGACTACCGACATATGTTTTTTGGGTTTTGGGTTTGCTTACCGACATCTCCTTGTAGTGCTGTACCAGGACCACGGGCGTAGTGCCAGCATCGTTACCAACATCTCCCTTGATGTGTAGGGCTTGCTCACCAGCATCTCCTTTTAGGGTTTAGGGTTTGCTTCCATTGCGCCGTGCAAAAAGAACATGGCGAAGAAACGGCCCTGCGGCTCGAAGTCTCAAAAGTATTGCGCTGGCCACGTACTATGAGGTTTCGGTTGCAAACACCAATTTGCGCGAAAAAATTGGAATCTTTGGCGGAAATCGTCTGCTGCCATCACAACCTTCGAACCCTCGAAAGTATTGCGCATGCCACGTATTTTGCAGATCGCTGCCTATCAAACTAAAGCTCATGGGGGCAAACCCCACACTACGCCCGTACAACTATTGCTAGAATTGTCCAGCTGCCGCTGCATCAGGCAAGTCGTGGCCAAAGTCATCTCCATCGGAACGGAGGAGTCATCGACATCGTTTCGCACGGAGCAGCGTGCATCGCAGCTGCACCTGGAACACGGGGACGCTTTGGGCGGTTTGGGGCTGGCTTGCCGATCGCCACTGTGCATTTCTCGGAAAGTTGGTCGTTTTATTGACTGCAAAGGGATCTGCTGCTTCTCTGGTCTCCAGAGTGCTTTTTGCGTGGTTTGGTTTGCGAAGCACAAACAATGACACCCTGTCTCCGAGATCTGGAAACATATGCAGCGCTGCCCGGGCTACCCCCATCCGAACATCATCCGCTACTTTGAAGTCATCGATTGGAAGTCTCGAGGCGGAGCACATGGGCGCTAGTTTTAAATGTTTTTGACCCCTAGCCTCGTTTTCCAAGTTTTGCTGCTCGATTCGGTGCCAGAGGCGTGGTAATCATGGAGTTGGCGGCTGGTGGCAGCCTGTCAGACACCCTGTACGACGGCGTAACTGCAGATCCCGGAGCAGTGGATGGTGTTCGGACTCCACTGGGAGATGTGCCTTGGAACAACTGAGCAAGACAATCGGGTGGCCATAGCAGAGACACCCCGCGAGGGAAAGCCAGCAGATGTTCCTTAAGTGTGACCGTTTTGTTTAATGAAGGTGTTGCCGGCCATGTTAGGCGCTGTTGACGGATGAAGCCCTGGCCAAGAAACTCTACGGCCAATTGGCCGCTGGATTCCAGTGGCTTGGACAATGTGGCGTGGTGCACAAGGATCTCAAGCCTGACAACATCATGTTGACGAAGCCTTTTCTGCAAGGTGCGCTGCCTCACAGAGGTTAGATGCACTTTTGGAAGGGTGAGTGTGTGGATTCGGCATAGATTCTGTTCAAGCCTTCAGTTACAATTGCACAAATAGGAGCAATTTTTCAGCGCGCTGTCGCCCTCTGTCGTATGGAATGTTTGAGCCAACTCCTCCTGGGACTTTCCATCACCCATTTCACTTCGATTTTGCTTCGGTTGCAAAGTTGCAGTGAAACAGTCAGTGCAACTCTAAAGACTCTAAACCTGAAACCGTGACATCTTCTTGAGGCGGCATCATCAAGATCATCGACTTTGGTTTGGCTAGCTTGACCAGTGACCAAAGAGCAGGACCTGCGGGAAGTGACTAATGACTAATTGTTGGTTGGATTTCTCGGCGATAAGCAAACTGTGTTTCTTCTTACTGCCAGGCTACGCCCTAAACCCTAAACCCTAAACCCTAATGTCCTTAGGTTGTTTTCTGCAGTCAGAGTCCAGTCCGTTCTGTTGGCTGTCAGGAAGCCTCGCGAACATGTACTACAATCTTCACCAGAATGTGGACCCAAGAACCAACAAGAAAGGCACTCGCACTTTCGATGACTTCGCCATGGGTTTGATTTTGGCCGAAATCGGCACCGGTGTGCCACCTTTCTTCAACCCCCAAAACGACTACTTCTCCACCAAGGGAAACCTGCAGAACCAGAAAGGGATCTTCTACATCTTGCAGCCCAAGAAGGTGTGCTCAGCTGGAGATGCTGGAATTTTTCCGCCTAAGAGAGATCTGGCGATGGGCAAGGTGTCCATCGACGCAGCAGTGAAGGAAGTCGTTGGACGATCGTTGTACTACAATCAAAACGGACGCCACTTTGTCTACAACAGCGCAGTGGAGCAAGGTATCGGCAATGTGCAACTCCTGAGACTATGGTGGCATCGAGCTCCCAGTTTTGTTCGGTTTTGATGTTTGTGGCTTCTTCAGTTAGTGTGAAGGTGTGTTGAGGATGTTGAAGGGAACACCGCCATTTCTTGTTGGGCCCTCATGCAACCCTGCTAGAACCAAGAAACCGCAGACATCAAGGAAGCAGTCCTGGCTCTACAACTCCCCAGCAGCAATGTCCCTTTTGCACTCTTTGCTGGCGGGCAGAGAGGCGATAGTGGGGGGGGGGGGGGGGGGGGNNGGGTATTGTTCCTTATTTGAGTCTCGGAATCGGTGGTTCATGCAGTTTGGACAGCCTGCCATGTCTCGCCAGCTGAAAGCATCTCCCAAGCCCTTGCTTAGTGGATCATAGGACTCAGTATATAGGTAGGGATATAAGTACGCTCAATTTGTTGTATAAGTAGATACAACCATAGTTACCTGACATGGAGCCCTACAACCCCCGCCGATCCTTCAAGTGGTTTCCCGTCAGGACGACCGTATTGAACCTTCGACTTTGATGTCTTCCAAGTGGCTATCGGATGTCCGTGAAAGTCCAAGTCCCGAGATTCCAGTTGCGGAGATGACTCTGCAACCTCAGGTGGAGGCCTGCAGGTATCACGGGAGCAAGATGTCAAGATATCGCATGTCTAGACTACTCCAAGGCATCTACGAGGAACTAAATACTAGGTCAATGCTGTCACTACTATACTGCCGGATCTTTTCCACAGCAGGGTCACAAGGACCAGATCTCACCTATCACAGGGGCCTTGGCTCTACGGAGCAAAAGTTTAAAAGCCTGCGCTCTAAAGAGCCTACTTAGAGTTACAAGTTACCACCAAAACGAAATCACACTACTTTCGATGAGTTGGTATTCTGGTACCTTAAAGCCTGTTCATTCACGAGCACGGAAGCCCTGAGAATGGCGCTCGTGCTGTCAGGCCCATGTCCACGTCCCTCCACCTGCGCCTCCCCTCGTGCAAGATCTCCGAGAGGCGCCTTGGGGTTGACGATGTAGGGGTATAGGGTTATTCGTTTTGCTCAAAAGTAGAATAGCCAACAGGAGGTTGTTATGGAACAGAGTGGTGAAGCATTGCAGACAGTAACATACTTCCACGGATGAAGAGTGCATGTATTTAGCCGCTGATACGTCCGCTTTGTAAACCCTATAAGCCCTAAGCCCTAGGTCATATAAACCCTAAAACCTAAACCAAGCCCTCTTTGACCATTATTTTTGCTGCGCTATGCCAGGAAGAAGAACCGGTGGAGACGAAGCAGGAAGCTCCGAAGCTGAACATGTGCAGAAACCCCTACAAGGACGTGCGCAAAGAACTCTTAGTGTGTATGTTTCAGGGTTTTAGTGTATAGAGTTTAGGGTTTAGGTTTCAATCCCTGCAAGATTAGCAAGACCGAGTCTTTTTAAGTTGTCTTGGCGGGCAGGGTTGAGGTACAGTCCTCAAACACTGCTTGTTTTGCGCAAAGTTCTTTTTGTGCACGTTGTCTCCTTCTTCAAGCAGCCCGGAGGAGCGTGGACCACCCTCCTTGTGCAAAGTGCGCCACTCAAGCCACAGCGATTGCTATGTGGGCATCAGTTGCGGCGGTGGTCCCAGCCACATGGTGAAACTCGAGCAGGGCTTTGGCGCCGGGACAGTGCCAAACTGTGGAAACTGCCGGTTGGCCTGACTTCCATAAGCCCCAGCGCCTCAAGGATGCTTCCATCCTGGGAGGCTGGAAGTGGGCTCGAAACCGGAGACTTTAAAGCCTCAACCTGAAGAGAGGCCAGGGGCCCAGGCCCAGTCCGTTTTTTTTTGGAATCGGACGAGTGAGCTTTCTGTTCATAGTTGTGAGTCGTTTGTGGTCTCAGTGCCACATCCGAAGGGGAAGCAGAGAGCGCAGAGCGGAGACAGAGCGACCAAGCGTAAAGAAGGCCCAGCGGGGCCCAGCGATTCAGTGTGTCTGCGAATCTGCTTAGGCAGCTTAACGTCGCGTGCAGCCTTGAATGTTTTGCCACCTTGCACCCGAATGTAAGACCAAGCGATATCTGGTGTGCAGGCCAGGCATCCATCCAGCAGTCAGCTTTTTCGGCTTTAAGTTCGCTCCCTGCGTAGAATGAAACATGGAACAAGATTGTCATGTCCCGCACTTGTCGTGGTGTAGCAGACTAGCATGCCAAGAAGCCGATCCCCGCTTTGCTTTATCATAGGCTGTTCACAGTCCGTAATGAAGATGCCTGTCAAGTTCGCTGGTGTGAGTTCGTCTCAATTCGCTTTGCCTCCACCTGGCCATCTCGGAGGGATGTATGCTCCATGGTTTGAATGTACGTACTTTGAGGTTGAGTGGTTGCAGGGGTTAGCGCGGTATTTTGCCCACAGCCGAAATCTGGTACAAGTTTATTGTGGCAAAATCGGTCTTTGATTTGAAATTTTTAGGATTTAGGATTTAGCCCCCCCCCTGGGGTGGATTTTAGTGGGGCCCACAATTTAGGACAGGATTTTAATGGGGCCCACAATTTGAGACAGGGTTTTAGTGGGGCCCACAATTTGGGACAGGGTTTTTATGGGGCCCACAACTTGGGGCAGGGTTCCTTCCGAGATTTTAATGGGCCCCACATTTTGGGTTAGGATTTACAAGGTGGTGCCCCCTAGTTATAAGTTAGTTATCGAAGATATATCTTAGTTATAAGTTAGTTAGGGAAGTTATCGAAGTTAGCTTGAAAAACTATATGAAAACCAAACAGGTCATGTCAGGCG